TTTCTCTTCCACTTGCACACATTATCCACTTTCTTTGGCTCTACCTTTACAGGATACCCCCAGTCTATCCTCCTCCTCCCCTCTTCACTGCTACCATCTTATGCTGAACCACCATTCTCTTTCCTTTGGACTCCTTGCCGGTGTCTTGCTCTCTTTCATGCCCTCTACAATTAATTCCTCACACAGAAGCTAAAATAACTTGAAAAAAAATCTACATATGGTCATGACACTTCTGAACAGAAATAAATTAAGGCTCTGGGTTAGTGATTTTCAACCCTGGCTCTGCAGTAGAATCATCTAGAAGCTCCCTCCCTCCCAGGAAAAAGTTTACCTCTGCCTAGACTGTACATTCAGAGAATCTGATTAAATTGCTTTGAGGAGGGGAGGGCTCTAGTCACCTGTGGATTCCCCTCTGGTGCTTTGGATATGCAAGCAAGGCTGAAAAACTGCTCTAGATGAATGTTGTCTCTCCTGCCTACTCCTCAGACCTTATCTACCGACTTGCCAAGCTTGTTCTGTCTCAGTTGTGTCCCTCCTACCCCAGTTTTTTTTTTCTTTTTGAGTAAACTTTTCTTATTTTAGAATAAATTTAGATTTACAGAAAACTTGCGGACGTAGTACACGGACTTCCCCATCGTCACTCGGTGCTCCCTGTTAACATCTTGCATTATTGGTTGGGCACTTTTGTCACAACCAGCCAATGTTATTGCACTGAAGTATTGACCAAAGTCCATACTTTATTCAGATTTCTTTAGTTTTTACCTAATGTCCTTCTTCTGTTGCAGGATCTCACCTTGCATTTAGTGACTATCGGCTCCTCTTGGCTGTGACAGTTTCTAGGACTTTCGTTTTTAATAACCTTGACTGAGGAGCGCTGGTCATGTATTTCATGGATTGTCCCTCAGTTGGGATTTGGCTAATGTTTTTCTCATGATTAGGCTGGAGTTAGGGGTCTGAGGACCAAGACCACAGAGTTGTAAAGTGCATTTTCATTAGATTTTATCGAGGGTGCATACTGTCAACATGATTTATCACTATGATGTTGACCTTGGCTGGGGTAGTGTTTGTCAGGTTTCTCCACTATGAAGTTAATCTTTTTTCTTGCTTTTCCATACTGTACTCTTTGGAAGGAAGTCAGTATGCACAGCCCATACCAAAGAAGTGAAGAGTTATAATCCACCTCCTTGAAGGCAAAGTATCTGTTTACATAATTATTTGGAATTCTGCGCAAGATGTTTGTCTGTTCTCTCCCGTTTAATTATTTATTTAATCGTGTATTTCTATCTGTCTGGACTCATGGATGTTTGTTTTGTACTTTGGATTATAATCCAGTATTACTTCGTGTTGCTCAGATTGTACCAGCTTTAGCCACAGAGTTCTTTCAGCTGATTCTGATTCCTGTATCGCTTTGATGTACCCCCATCCTTGTGGGGTTTATGAGTGCTTCCTTTCTTTCTGGCACTGCAAGATGCTCCAGTGTTAGAACCCCAAATCTGGGCGATGTGTGTGCTTGCTGCTGGCATGTGTGTTGTTGATCCTAGGTGCTCTCAGCTGACAGAGCAAGGATGTGAATGTACTAAGCTAACTTTTTGTATGCAACCATCTGTCTGTAATAAGTTTAAACATGAGTTGACTCAAATGTCTTCAACTCCCATCCATTACCACATGGATTATTCTGGCCTTCTCCCCATGACTGTAACTTCCCACTTCAACAATGAGAAAACTGGCTCCCACGATCTGTTTACTTAATTGTTCAAGTCCAGTATATTTATATAGATACAGTGGCTTCAGAATTAACACATACCCCCATGTGAGACCACTCTATCAAATGAAGCGTCGTGCTTGTATGCGGTTCCTTTTGCCTTTAATCTTACGGACTCCACACTCATTTCCAGCTGCTTAGGTCAGCACCTTCCCCCCACCCCTACTGTTTGTTGTTTCATACGTATTTTTTTGTCTCAGAGTTTTTGCATTTGTCCTTCTGCCTGCACATGTTTCCCCACGGTTAGACCTTTATCTTTCATCAGATCTCTGAAATGTTACCTCCTTGGAGGGACCTTCCTTGAGCACTCAGTCCTAAGGAATCCCCTAGCCTACATTTTTTTTCATTTATTTGCTCTGTGTATGTGGCTTCTTTTGGTCTCCCTCTGGTAGGAAACAAATGTGATGAGAGCAGAGACTGCATCTATGTCCTGGATGTCTAGAATACTGGCTCAGTGCATATTTGTTGCTATATGAATGAATAGTCCTGTCCTAGACTATGGCTGGTGCCTGTCTTTAATATTCATCAGCAGTGGTTGAAAGCAGGCTTGTTCAGTTAGGCTTCCAGTTTACCCTGATTCACTACTTACAAAAGGATTTTGCTTGCAAATTAGGTTATTTCAGTATACTGAAGATGTGCAATTACCCTGATTATTCTGTCCTACAATGTTTATAACCCTTTTTTAAAAGTTATTTTAATTAGTGAATTACTCTCTCTAGTCCTGTGTAAAATTGTGTACAGTATCGGGCTGTACATTAGAATCAGCTGAGAAGCTTTTTTAAAAAACAAACCAACCAACCCTGATTCTCTGGCTCCATCCCTGACTTACTGATCTCCAGGAAGATTCTGCAAATTTGCATTTTTAACAGCTATCTTAGGATCTAGTAAAAATATTTGGAGTTTGAAAGTCTCAGGGCATTAATGTACAATGAGATTTGGTGACAATGTCTGGAGGATTTCACTTTATAGCTATGATTGTTGAAGCTTATACTAAAACATCTTTTTGCCTTGGACTAACTTTTTCTGCAACCTTTTTAGCCCTTACTATGTGCTAGGTATTGGGGAGCATTGTATATAGATGAATCCCAGACATTGAGCTTAAGGAGTAGTAGAATGAATGTAAATAGTTGTGAAAGAAGGTAGAAAATAATAGGTACATGAAGGAGGTAGAAACATTTTTGGTATTTAAAGGCAGAGCGGTCATTCACACCCTGAGAAGGTAAAAATAAAATCCAGTTCTTAAAGAGAATGTACAGAGGGAAGGTGGAACCGTGGACATCCCCGTTCTCCGCAGGGGGCTGTAAGGAAATTAGAAGTTACAGGGGAGCCTCTTACAAGCCGGAGGGCGATAGCCAAACTGGTAGGAGAGGCCTGGGAAGGTCAGGAACCAATATCCAGATTATCAGAGCTGTCGAAGCCAAGAGTCCTTACTAGAGCTTTAGAGTTCTTAGCAGAGCTTTCCAGTTGAAGTACTGAAAATTTTACAGTATTTTAAACATAAAATTTTACTAGCGAAGTTTGTGTACTACTTGTGAATTTTAAAAAAAGGCAATTGCATTCCTAAAGAATGCAAACTTCAGTTTTTGTTTTGTTCTTTTAAGCTCTGGATATTCAGTCCAAATTAAATCCCTCATGTTGCACATAAAGGAAGCTAAAATTCAGAGTTAAAATGTGTCTGGTCCATGATCACAGGATGCAGAACCAAAGAACCTCAGGCTCCGGACTCACCGGTGCCTGTTAACACGTTCTTGTCAGGTTGAGCTCAGTCTCTTTTTGCTGTTGGTTGCTGATTGTTAAGAGGAATTCCTTAGGGTAGAGACTGTGTTGTATTCATCCCAAAACCCTGGACAGAGTAATACACAAAGTAGACAGTAACAGTAGATGTGTGTTGCATGAAAGGATGGATGCATGGGTTTGGCTTTTGTGTTTGACCTGGAAGGAAGGCTAGGATTTAGCTCTGGCAATCCTGGTCATTAGATGTACACGTGGACTGTTAGATTTGTTGAGTATTGGACACCTAAGGGGAAATAGAAAATAATATGGAAAGCTAGGTGGGGGTCACATTATAGGAACACTTGAGTGCCAAACTAAGGATTCTGTAATTTATTATCCAGTCAACTGAAATGTTTTGAGCAGAGGAGCAACAGACACACACCCAGACACAAAAAGAGACTGGGGGCGGGGGAAGAGTTAGGAAGGAAAGAAATTTAATTTGACAGTTCACTCAAGATGTTATAAAAGCTTGATTAAAGGTGCTGGCTCTGGAAATGGAAATGTGGTTGTAGATATACAGAAAACAGACTTGATTACTGATGAAGCGTAGAGTTCAAGGGATAGAGTACTCAGAGATGAGGCTGCGGTTCCAGGTGTCATGTTTGCCTGTGTATTTTGGAGGGTGGTGGTGGCGTTAACACATATGGTGGTTTTAAATAGTGCTGATGCTATATCTAGGTGGAAATGTGGAATAGGCTCTTGGGAAAGTGCTGCTAAACTTGAGAAGAGAAGGTGGGTCCAGAAATTAAATTAGGAGTTATTTGAGTAGAAAGGATCATTGAAGGCTGAGGATTAAATGAGATTGCCAGAAAAAGACAAAAACCAACGGCACATCCCTAGGGAAACACCTACATTTAGAGGGAATGGAAGAAGAGGAGCCAGAGAAGGAGCTTTGGTCATAGACAAAGTGAAACTCGAGAATAGTACAAGGTTAAGGGAGTAGGGAAAATTCTTACTGTAGGGAAACGTCTGAATTACAGGCCCTTTTTAATAAAAAGTTTTGTACAATTTATAGTATAAGCTAAATTATGTGGCAGTTGGTAAAATGATGTACGTTAATGACCAGCCTTGCATTTTGCAAAAAACCTGCATAATTATATCATTATGTATTATAAACAGAATAGATGGTTAGCATTAAAGAATATTTTGTTGGACCCAGAGGTTGAAGAAATCTTTTATTTTTAAACTTGAATTTGAGATAGCATTGCTTTTAATCAAGTAGTCTTCTTGATTGAAGTTTTGCAAGACAGGAAATTTTCATTTTTGTTTCTATGGGAGTAATAGCTATAATAATGGAGTGAATAAATTCTGAATAGTGAAGTTTGACCATGTTTGAACATCTGCCTTCAACACTTCTTAGTGTATTTTCCCAGCAGTATTTATAAGTATTCTCTTAGCAGTAAAAATATCCAGTAAGTACTGTTATTTTTTCCCTAAGCAACTTTGTTCTTAACTTTCTTTTCAGGATCTGACTGGCATAGAATCTATGGATCAGTGTCGCCATACCTTGGAACAGCATAACTGGAACATAGAGGTATAGTAGGACTCATTCTGAGCTGCTTTCTTTTTCCCTGGTCTGATAACAGATCTCAAAGACATGTATTTTTTTTCACAGCATGAATCTCCTCTCAATAGATTTTTTTTTAACTGTATGACTTTTTGGTCTTTAAAAATAAATTTGTGCAAGATGAAGATTATAATCAAAGTTTTATAACATCATAGAAGAGGTTGTGACCAAATCCCTTAATATAGTGTCCCTCCCTCTTTTATTTTTTTCTTAATGGCCTTTGGAAAAAATACTGTTTTTTATGTTTGTTTTATAACCAGATACCATAATGTGAGCCTTCTTATTACCTATTTTATAATTTAGTTTTTGGATTTTCTAGGTAATTGTGTCATGTGCAACTCAGTGTTGTTTTTTTTTCAGCATACGGACCTTCTGTTTTACTTGATCATTGAATTGGCTAGAACTTCAGAACAATCTCAGTTAATAACTGTAGTAGCAAACGTCTTGTCCTTACTATAATGCCTCTAGTGTTTGATCATCAAGTGTGATGTTGGTCATTGTTTTGAGATAGAGTCACTGGAATATAAGTAACTTCCATGAGAGCAGAGGGTTTTGGTTTTTGTTTTGGGTTTTTTTGGTTTTGTTAACTGCTATGCTCCCAGCATCTAAAATTAATCCTGATACATCATAGGCTCTCAGGGGGTATCTGTTGACTGTTTTTCCATCCTGGTACAGTAATAGTTTTATATCAAGAGTGGATGTTGACATTTATCAAGGACCCTTTTGATCTCTTTTTGAAATTCTGTTGTAGTTACGGTATATTATTTGAATAGGGTGCTGGATTTCTGAAAATATATTCCTAAGTGATACTTAGTTATGCAGCACTATTTTTGAGGAATTAAATTCTGGGGCCTGGCAGGATACCAGCAAACAAGACCAAGTCCCTACTCCCATGGAGTTTAATTCTAGGTAATTGTAGTTTGTAATAAATGCTACAAATGAGTGCAGAAAATGTAACCGAGAGGATCTGGGAGGTTATTTTAATAAGTAAGGCCTTTCTGAGGAGGTTATATTTGAGCTGACACCTGAGTGATGAAAAGGAATGATGACTGTGAGAATTCAGGGGGAAATGCACGTTGGCAGAGGGAATGATGTTGCCCTGTGTGATGCATTGGTGCTCTCTCTCTGTTAGACTTTGATTTCAGGCATATGCTGGCTTTATAAAATGACTGACTTGATAAAATGAGTTGAGAAGCATAAATAGCAAAGATTTGAAAGAAAGCACTTGAAAACTTATTTTTGCCTATTGTTTATTAACTTCTTCGTGTTTTTACCCATTATTCATAATCTGTTTCCTACTTCTTTCTTAATAAGCTTTCTTAGAAAAATGCTTTTTCCGTCGAGATTTTCAGTGATTTATGGTACAGGCTGTACAAAGCAGCACGTCTTTTGCTCTCTTCTGTGTCTGCTCTGTTATCCCCTCTTCTCCTTATTTTCTTATGCTTTTTTTCCTTTTTGAAAAATGAGACTTGCTGGAGACTAGTTTTTAATTTGATTGTTTTATTTATAGAAAGCTCTTATATTTATCAGTTCTTTTTTTCTGCTTATTTATTAAGCAAAATCTAATTTTTTTTACACTTTTGTATGATTGTCTTTTTTTTAGCATCTTGATTTTTGCTAGTTTTTTTTTTTTTAAGAATACAAATTTATTGGTACGCTTGCATTTACGGCTGTGGATTTTCTTCTGGAAATACATTTTAAAAGTTCTGATTTTCTTCTTTGGCCCAAGAGTTATTTAGGAATACTTTGGAATTCCTGTTGGCTTTTTAAAATTTATTCTTTTTATATTGATCTTTAATTTTATTTTTTAATATAACATTTATATATTAGGAGGTTCTTTGATTTAATCATATTCCTTATTATTATATATATTTTTAAATTAAGTGTTTCAAACTTAGAGAAAAATACAGAGATAAAAGGGACAACCATGTACCTACCATCCAGCTCCTGAAAACCAGACATTTTGCAATGCTTGTTTCAAATTTATTTTAAACAGATATGGATAAAATCAAAGCCTCACGTACATTGCTTGTGTGTTGTCCCAGCCCGCACCCCACCCCCTCTCTTTTTTCTTTCCTAGAAGCAAACACTGTTGACAACTAGGTGTTTATCAAGCAGTGTGTTTTTTGTGGGATAAGGGTTTGGTGTCTGCATTCAATCAAGCTTATTAGATGTATGATTATAATCTGCTATTTTTTTTCTGTTTACTTATTGATAAGACTACTTGACGTGATGAACCTGAATGTGGTTTTATAGATTTCCTTATTTCCCATTGATAATGTCTTTTTTTTTCCTAATTACAAAAATAATACATGTCTACAAAAAATTTAAAACAGAATTTATAAAGTTGAAAATGAAAGTTCTTGGTAACCATACTCGAGATAACCACGTTTGACGTTTTAGTGTATTACATGTCCTTCCAGACTTCCTTATGTGTACAGCTCTGTTAGGTGTGCTGACAGCGTGCATAAGCTTTCCCAGTGTTAGTAACAAGTGTATCAAAGAGAATGCTTTTCTACATGCTGTGGAAAGGCCTACGTGATGCAAGTAAAATGCACTAATTCTATGTTTATTTTGAGAGGGAGACATTTTCTAGCTTATATATAGTTTGATTATTTTATTTGACACATACAAACACATAGCTGTGAGAACTTTCTTGTAATAATACCTTCTGTTAATATCAGGTGATACTTAATTACTTTAAATTCTACTTTAAATTTAAATTTGATTTATTGCTATTGCTGCTCCTCTTTTATTTATTGGTTTACAGTTACTCTGGTGTAATATCAATCTTTCTGTAACAGGAAATGACATAGAAATGTTAAAAACTTGTTGGAAAAGTACACATGCACACTCACACAGGCAAATATTTCTAAAAAGTGTAAATAAGACAGTGCTCACCCTTAATCCCTCATTTCTGGTGGCTAATGATGTAATAACGTCTTTTTTACATGGTTCTTGATCATTTGTGTATCTTCCTTGGGGAAATGTCTATTCAAATCCTTTGCCCATTGTTAAATAGGGTTGTTTGTCTTTTCAATGGTGAATTCTGTATGTATTCTGGATACCAGACCCTTATCAGATAGATGCTTTGTAAGTATTTTCTCCCATTCTGTGGACTGTCTTTTTTTTTCAAACCTTTCATAGAATGAGGAAACAATCTCAAACTTAGAGAAAAGTTGTACGTACAGTACAGAAGTTATTTTTTCTTAAACCAGGGTAGCTTGCCTACCGGATGTCCCATCACCACTAGTACTTCGGGGTGCATTTGCTGTAACCAGGACTGCGTAACCACAGCGCATGGGTTGTCTTTTGACTTCTCTGATGCACAAAAACTTTTGGTTTTGATGAAGTCTCGTTTACCTGTGTTTTTTTCTTTTTGTTGCTTGTATTTTTAATGTCTTGTCTAACAAATCATTGCTTAATCCAAGGTCACAAAGATTTTCACCCATGTTTTCTTTTAAGAGTTTTATAATATCAGCTGTTACATTTAGGTCTTTAATGTATTTTGAGTTACTTTTTGTAATATAGTGTGGTTTAGGCTTCATTATTTTGCACGTGGATGTCCTGTTGTCCCAGTCCCATTTGTGGAAAGACTGTTCTTTACCCATTGAATTGGGTCCTCATACTTGAAAACATGAAACCTAGAGGACTGCCTGAAGTTATATGACAGAGTTGAAAGCCAGCTGTCAAGGTCATACGAGTCCTCCAAAAGACCACCCCCACTTCTGACAGCAACTGCAAGTTCAGGGCACTCCTAAAACCTTCAGATTTTGTAGTTCACTAGAAGAGCTCACTGAAAGCTATTATAACTCACAGTTACCGTTTATTACAGGGAAAGGAGACAGATTAAAATCAGCTGAAGAAAGAGACATGTAAGGCAGAGTCTTGAGTTCCAGACACAAAGATTCCATACTTATCTCATGGAATGAGGGCGTGTTACCCTCCTGGCATAGATGTATGACAGTATACATGAAGTATTGCCAGCCAGGGAAGCTCACCTCGGCTTCCAGGTCCAGAGTTTTCACTTGGGCTTCATTACATAGGCATGATTGATTTGGTTGGTTGCCTATGTGACTGAACTCAGTCTTCAGGTTGACTGGTACTGCATTACTGCAAGTCCTGGCCTAAATCACATGGTTGGTCTTTCTAGGGTGGTCAGCCCCACTCTAAGATCCCATAACAAAGACACTCCTGTCTGATGTGGCACAGGTTATTTCCAGGAGGCAAGGCAATGACCAGGCTTTCCTTTGGGTAAGGCTGAATTTTTTACTACACTGGGACAAATACCCATTTTCAGGAGCTGAGTTAGGAAGAGACTAAGATTTTTTTTCACTAAACATCATCTGTTGCCAAGAATTGTATTAAAAACTTTATGTATGGTCACCTCATCAAATTGTCAAACCCCGAGAAATACTGTTTCTTCAT